AACGATGATGACCTGGATGACGAAGAGCAACCTCTCGCAGGAAATCCAATGCCGAAGGCGATGCCACATCCGAAACTGGTTCCAAAGTCACCACCACCAACACTGAGGCTTATGTCAAAGATGAAGCCAGCGCCAAAGAACATCCTGGATGAGGAGACAGAATCCGACAATCATCCTGGCGACCGACCTGCACTTCCAAGACGACCAGCGATGCGGCCAACTCTCACATCCAACGATCGGTGGTATGTACCAGATGGATCAGATACGGACATCAGCCTCCAGAGGGAATCCGTACATCCAGGACCTTTCGGGAATTCTAAACTCCTCAATTTCGTGTACGAATACTACAAGGAGTGCTCAACCATCCCCGAGATGAATCCTGACTTCCACTTCATCCCTGAGCATGAACGACAACATGGAGCCAAGGTATTCTGGTTGAAAGCCAGATTCAATGATTACTGGAAGCCAACGCTTCAAGGTGAAGGCCAACACACAGAGAAACAATACATGGACTTCATCAAGAAGGTCTACAGCATTTGCTGCTACACCAATGCTCAGCCAGAAGTTTTCGGAACAGACATCATTCCGATGGTATGTCACAACCGCCATATTGATCTCGAGAAGACCGTCCAGAATGTTGAACAGGTTTGCAAATACTTCAACATGGATCCATCCAAGGCAAACAGATCACCGACCTCATCCTCTGGCGAATCGAGAGAATGAGCAGATTGTTTTCCGGATGCTGTTGACACGATCCAAGGCAAGGCCAACACAGAGAATGCAAACGACAAGTGGACATGGGTTCTGATGGATCCGTTGAGCTCTACGATGCATTGACCTGCATTACGCATGCCAGGAACTACATGGGCAATAAGCCAGGACTTCTCTTGATGGCTATGTTCCCGAACCATGGAAAGGCACGTTTCGAGCGAGATTGCGTTCGTGCATCCATCCGTGGACGGGCGCAAGGCAAGGGGAGACATTGTTCCAAGAAATCGATGGATCGACAACCTCACCTCTAGATCCGCATACGATGCACTCCGGCCTAATGGCAAGGAATTCCTCAATGATCCCGACATGGAGTTCTACGTGAGATGCAACAGCGGTCATACACGACAAGTCGATCTCCAATCTTTTGGACGACCCCTGTACTCCGAGCAGAAGAGTGAGCCTGGCCAAGAAGAACCGGACTATGATCTTCCAACGGAATCCATTCCTCCAAGTCCGCATCCGTCAAGATCCGACGCGCCCCATGAAGACGAAGGCACAGCTCAGGCAAAATCCAGAATGCGAAGGCCGGCACCTCAATCCATTGAAGAAGGGAGAAAGATCAAGCCGTTCGCGAAGAAGCCCATCACGTTCATGTTCCATGCAACATATGGAGAGAATTTGATCAACATCATGGAGCACGGGCTGAAATCTGGGAGACCCCAGTCAAACCCTTCGGGGAGAGTGCACATCCACATGGCATGCATCGACGACGTTATCCTTGATGACGAGGCGTCAGAAGCAGCATTGACACATGTGCCAACAGGAAGAGATGCATTGTTGATCCTGGCATTCCTCAAGACCAGGACTACGACATCCGACTCTCCGAGGAGCGAACGGCATTGACAGAGCAAACCATCGAGGCGAGGAACATTGTTACAGCATTTGATCCCGAGGGAAACATCATAATGAGTAACAGTTGGACCATGAAGAAAAATCTCGGTCGTGAAGACATTGAGATGTACACCAGCAAGATCCAAGAGTTCGCCGATGCCTTCTTCAAACATGTGTAAATGACCACCAAAACAAAGAAATCCGAAAAAGGCGACGGCGCAGGACGAGGTTGAAGAGGAGAACATGGAACCCTCCGGGGAGAGACCCGTCAAGCCAAAGGTCACCATGGAGTATCCCAATCCTGAGAACCTAGACGAGTTCACCCAGGAACTCAAGGAAATCTACCTCAAAATAGAAATGAGCAAGAAGGACGCCGAGGAAGAGCTCGTGGAGACCAAAAGGAACTTCATCCGCTTCATGGAGAAGACAACAAGGATCCAAAAAGGGAGCTCATCCTAAATTGACAGAATGCGAGAGAGCCTCATTGGCACACGTCGATCCCGATGTCAACCTCGAAGAAGAAGAGTTCTATTTCCGCAATCGAGGAGAATGTTTCACCATGGACGAGTACCGGAAGGCACAGCCAGTATCAGGATATCCGATTAAGTTTCCACTTGGATTGAAGAAGCTTAGGTCACATGACAACCCAGAAGTCATTCGAGCATTTGCCGATATCCTGGGATCGCTGATGCAGCCGACCGACCGTTCCCCTGTGGACCATCTCAAGACGCATGAGTTCATCTCATCCCTGACGATCAACATGCTTACTATGAACCATGGAAACCTCACGAGGAATCCAAAGCTGGACAACAGGGAGGTGTACAACATGGCGATGAAGGATCGACCAATCGTCAAGATGATGATGCAGAACAGCGCACGCATCTTATGCCTCAATGAAGCAGACGCATTCCTCAGTCCTCAAGATGAGAAATCCAGAGAACTCATCAAGACGTTCATCCGATTCGGGTACAAGGGCATCGTTATCAAGCAATGGTCATCCAGACCAATTGCATGCTTTGTCCGCGGCGGACCTTCCGCAAGAGTGGAACTATTGGCAAGACACATTTCCACAAAGAGTCAGAATTGGGGAACCACATTCGGGATGTTCAGATGTTTCTTCGGAACCGAGGAAAATTGCACTGATCCTGAATTCGACATTCCGACCTTGGACTGCTTGGCAACTACGGGACCATCCATGTTTACTGAATCCAAGAAGTACATCGGACCGAGATTGCCACCGCGCACCACTGTCCAACGGACGTAACAAAGAGATTGTCGTTCTCCACATCGAGCAGAGTGATGAGTATCGTGGTATGCTCCCAAAATCATCCAACAAATCACTCCTCGAGTTTGACAGCCGCCACGTAACGAGGGCAGACCTCCCGTTTGCTACCGTTGGAGTTTTCCCCATTCATCCATCATCAGCCATGGAGCAGCACGGGAAGATTTTCAGAACGAAATCATGCCACTTGTGACACTATACCAATGCGATGCGATCACCGGAGACGCCAACAAATCCGTGAATACCTACAGCAGACTTCAGCACCTCTTGAATCCGGCCAACGGTCTCATGAATATCCTCATGAAGGCATATCAGAGATTGTGGAATGAAACGGAGAATCTGCCACTCGTGGACAGAATGGAGTATGCAATCAAGACTTCATGCACCTTAAAGTCCATCGTCCGTCATCACCTATACATGAAGGCTGGATCAGGGTATGATCGAACATTCCCAGATGTGATGATGACATGGGGCAGAACGAATATCCAGCAGGTTTTCCGGAAGGAAGAGATGAACGCCATGAAAGATGAACAGCTGGAAGCCGTGCGGAACGATCCGACGTCTGCCATTTTCGACTATCAGGCCTCATCCGCGGAACGCTTCAAGCACGTGAACAACGATATGTTCATGAATGGCTCACAAGATTCCGACTCGCACAGTCCGCCGATGGTCTACATCCGCAGCAGGTCTGCCGCCAGGCAACGCAACTTTGAGAGATCCAAGGATCACCTCAAGAAGAAGCAATCCTGGACTCAGCAAGAGTACAAAGAGTACAACAAGCAGTACTGGGGCAATCCAAAGCAATGGAAAGACTATGCGACCTGGAATGATTATGGAGACTATGGCAGTCAATCCGACAGCAGCCGTTGGTGGTACCGCTGTGACGAAGCAGCCACCTTTGGCACTTGTCCGACCGACTGAGAAGACTCCCACGATCGGCGCTACGAACTTCAACCAGATTGATCCTCACCGCCAACAAGACTATTCAGTGAGAGATCAATAGTTTCACATCCGTCCCGCATGTACATAGCGTTGTGCATCACCTTTTCGATACATCTAGGTATCTCACAGAATCAGGACAGACTGTTTTCCATTTTGCTCACATGACAGACCATCCGCGACAAAATTGGAAGAATCATTGTAACAATACATGGCTACGTATGGCTACGGCACGTAAGGCCAAGAAGCCAATCATACACTTCGGTGTGAAAGGCCAAAAGAAATTTGTGTCTGTTTTGTGTTGCTTTTTGTTGCACATTGACCTATTCACACACTCCGCTGACATAATGGCTCAAGGCCCTTCAAGTCATTTGTACAGTCATTCGATTCATGGTACATTGATAAAAAGGCTTGCAGACCGCTTCACAGGATTCACAGTCAACACAAGCCACCAATAAACAATCCATCCTCCAATTCTCCATATTGGCATATTGGACTCTCTCCGGAATAGATCCAGGGACCAAATCAACGACCTCTACTACCACAGGGTACCAGTTCCCTTCTGAGATAGGCACCCCGGCAGTGGGCCTCACCCCCCCCCCCCCCCGAGATCCAGTGTTTTTTTGATTTCCTAGGGCTGGTTTCTCACTAGGGCTGGGTTGGTTGGTTGGTTGGTTGGTTGGTTGGTTGGCTGGTTGGCTGGTTGGTTGGTTGGTTGGTTAGTTGGATGATTGGTGGTTGGCTGGCTTGCTGGCTGGCTTGCCGCATCAACGGCGTCACCAGCCTCAATTGGTCTGGGGGTTCCTATTGGCTCTGATTGGGAGGCGGTTGGGAGTTGCTGAGGGTTGCTTTAAGTTAAGCGGGGTTTAGGCTGGCTTAGATCTTCATTAGCTTGGGTTGTGGTGGTTCGGGGTTGATTTAGGGCTGACATCCATGCTGCTGTTGGGCGGGTTTAGGGTTGACTTTGGACTAGGGGTTGGCTTGGAGATGATTTGCGTTGGGTGTGCTGGCTAAGCAGTGCCTTTTGGGTTGGGATGGGTTGCTTCTGGGATGCGGTTACGTGAGTTTTGGCCTCGTGGATGGCTTTGGAGCGTGCCCCAAACCACCAAAACCCCCCCCGCCCCCCCAAAAAAGAAAAAAAGAAAGACGAGCCGCCTGGCGGTTGTCCTTCGAGCAGGTGATGTGCCGGAGCCATGAGGCGGAGGTGTGCGCCACCTACGCGCGGCTGTTTTTTAAGGCGGGAAAATCGGGTACAACACCTTGGCGAGGTTTCTTGGAGCAGTCCTGAGGTTCTTCTCCCAAAAAAGCTCCACAGCATTGCTCCAAAAACACATGTTGTCGGCTCAGGGGCACCGAGGTATTGCTGGTGCAAAGGGGAATGAGAAATGGAATGGCATGACAATGGCATTCCTACTTTGTGCAATGGAAGCCCGTTTGGGGTCGCAAAGAAGAGGGGGCATAGGGCTTGCGTCAGACCAGACCCTCCGCTGTATGGGAGAAATGGTTGATGGGTTTTAGGTTGCCCTTTGAGTAGGTACTCCCCTTCAAAGTGAAGTGATGGGAATAGAATTCCCACGGTATCACGCGGGTTGTTTCCCACATGTTCTACTGGTTCGGTCTTGAGGCGAGCAATTTATGTTGCTGTTATGTACTTGAAAGGGAGCGACATAGGGCACACAAGCCCCACATCCGGGTGCAAGCAAATGGATGGGTTTGATGGAGAACAATGCGAGTCCATCTGGGTTGGTCGTCGATCCCTGCCAAGGGTAAGACATAGGTATGCAAAGAATGGGTTGCCCTGGTCAATGGAACCAAGGACTAACACCTGCGGTGGCGGATTAATTTTGAAAGGCCCGATGCCCAGTTGACACGATGGGCCGTGCGGGTTTCTTCCGTTCCTGTGGGGCGATTCTTGCGCGAAAACCTAAGTCTTAGGCTTGCGTGTAGATGTCGTATCTTTGTCCTCTCAAATGACAGCAACGTAGGTGGCTCGTCGTTTTTTGAGACCTTTTTGCGGCTTCAAAGGGAAACCACAACAACCTGCATTTTGGGGGTCCGGTTCCATTTCCTGGTTTAGGGTTGAACGACCACCCTGCAGACATTTTGGTCAATTTCTACTAGCCTTGCAGAGGGGATTAGATTGCTACTGTGACGAGTGGTGGTGGTGGTGGTGGTGGTGGTTGTTGGTGGTTGTTGGTGGGGGTGGTGGTGGTGGTGGTAGTAGTGGTGATGAGGACTTGTATTATGCAGGGCAAGCAACGATTTTGTGGAAAACACTGATTTAGAATTAGAGTTGCAATTCTTTTCATGTCGGTCTTCCAAAAGCCGTTTGCACACTTCCATGTTTGTTGATGGAACTGAAAGGGTTCTTGTACATGACAAATGGCCCAGCGCGTTCCAAAATAACGCCGCTTCATTTGGTTATGACTTTTTTCTAGGGAACCCTCTGAAAAGTGGTTGGTGGGCATAGAATTCCCAATGTTTGGCGCCTTGAATCCCAGGCCCGTGAATACTGGTTGATAAAACACCGATCGCAACCGGCGATATAGAATTAGGGCTCCAGCACGGGGGAGCTGTCCCCTATATCTACCCTTGAAGCACCCTCAGCAAAAGACACACCTAGATCGCCAAGTTGTTGCTTTTCTCCAGACACTTGACCCCTAAAAAGCCGGCGCAGTTGGAAATTTCGCGATCGCAGCTCATGTACTTCTTTTGGACAGTTTTCTTAAAGACACCAAAAGGAAAATAGCCTGAACACAGATATTTTCCTTCCATTTCTTTAGTCTGTTTGACTTACTGGTCGACTTGATTTTTACATCTATTCTTTGTTTGGGGGGGGGGGGGACGAAAAACCCCACCGGTTTGCCAAAAAAGGGTCATCCTGTGTCATCTGGACCTTTTGGTCAACCCCCATGTGAGCCACAATCAAAACCCGGCTCAAGGTTAGTAAGGGACAATCCCAGCCATAAATAGCTGCGGCCGCCTTCTTCATTCTTTACATGGTTCTGGGCAGACCATTTTAGTATCGGGTTTTGATGATGACTCATATGGGACTGATCGGGTTCCGCTTTTCCCGGTTTTTTGAGGCGCTGACGGAGTGCGAGGAGGCCTCGGACCTCTTCGGGGACGACGCGCAGGCGCTCCGGAGCGCTCAAGAGGAGCGCTCCTCAAGAGGAGCCGTGGCGCGGTTGGGTGTCCCCAGAAGTCACACGAAATATGGCTGAAACTTTTTTCTTTTTTTTCTCAGGGTTTTCCCTTGACCAAGCCGGTAGCCCCAAAAAACAGAGGAGCACCCCATCCAAGAACCATACAACCGGAGCGTCCCAGCTTCGCCTCTTTCACAGTGGTCTGAACAAATAGGTCACAACCTAGGCTCACACTGTGTGCACCTCCCGGCGGGTTGTGACCTTCCCCCCTTGGAGGTTTGAGGATTGGTCCCGCCTTCTGCCGAATTTGACATTCGCAAGGCTTGTTAAGCCCCAGATTCTGGGTTGCTAGGGTCCAGAATTGGGAGGTGCCAGCCTGTGCGCAAGCTCAAAGAAAAGAATGCTTAGCCAGTGCGCTAGACCTAGACTTGGTATCATGTACACCTGCTTTGAATGCCTCTTGAAGAGAAAACAAGAGAAAGCCAACTCCTTGTGGTTCGAGAACAATGTCGAGGACATCCATGCTGGATGGTTAGGAACAACGATTCCTTGTCCTTTTCCTTGTTCTGGTTACCATAAAGGTTAGCCCTTTTGATTCGGCTCACCCCCAAATTTCTACAAACCAGAAGGAAACTGAGCCCCAACTTTACCCTACCATGTATCTTTCCACCCCTTGGTTCACCCGTTCAGGGTTTTTAGGTTTCCACTTGCGACACGTTTGAACAAGTCCCCAAGCTGATGTGGTTACATTGTATTCTTGCGATGTTCAACCATCAGGCTCTTGGGTTCACCCGGTTGACCTGCCATTTTGGGCTACCCGTTCACCTCTGAACCGAATTGCCAGCTTAGTGGGCCAACAGCCTGCTACATTACTCGCCCCGCCAAGATCATCTTGGAAGAACATCTCCCGACCCCCTGCTCACTTGGCCCTGAGCGTTCCTCCCCCCACCCCCCACCCAGCCCCGCCCCGCCCCGCCCTTTTCCCGGGCCCCATCTTCCTTTGACGAAATCCGAATTCCGTTCTTCTCCGACTTGCATTCAGCCTATGAATCTTAATGGGATACCACGTGTGTCAAAATAGGGGACCAACAAACAAATGTGTTTCCTTTCGTTTCCTTGAACAAACCAACCCTGAGACGATGGCGCCAAACAAACCCGCACCCGCTTGTTCAGGTGGCCCACCAAAAGTTTCCCCTTATTCACCCCCTTCACCCCCTTCACCCCCTTCACCCCCTTCACCCCCTGCCCCTCTTCAGGTGGCGCAGATCATGCGCTGGGTCCGCAGCTACCAGATGTCCGCGGTGAGCTTGGCGCAGACTTTAGGCCCGGTGGCCTTGGGCAACGTCTTCGCGGCCTGGCGGGGCCTGATCAAGGGGAAGGAGACGCGGTCGCTGCGGCGGCGGGGGGTGTTGGGGGGTTGGGCTGGGCTTTGCGGGAATCCAAACTAAAACGTAGCAACAAACGGGTGGGGGGGTGGGGGTGGGGTGTGTCCCTGAGTTTGACGCAACATCCCATTTCTTTTTTGTATTCTCATCCTGTTTTCGACGGGTTGAATTCAGAAGCAGGATCTGAAGATAGTTTTGTTGCCCAGAGTCGGGGAGGAGCAGTACGTAATGTTGACCCCAGATTAACAAACCCCGATTTTAATGTGGGGGTGTCCCTGTTTTAGTGGGGATTCATCACTTCTGGAGGGGAACACCCCCATATCAACAAAGACTCCCTGCGGAATTTTGTGCGCTTGGATGGAGACCCACTTAGCCCAACAGGTTGTAACGGCACAACCGGAGGTTACAGCCATCGTCAATTGTCGCGAGATTACTAAGTGGGATGAACGTCCCAGGACCCCCCCCCTGTAAACTAACAACCCCAAGACCCAAACTTGAAGTGTATTCTCACAGGTGTTTTTTGGGGGGTTCCATGTGAAAAATGGGGAGTAATCTTGCCAATGGCAGGTCTCCCTTGTTTGGCGTCTAAAAAAGGATCACAGATTCGATCATGGAGAAAGTCTGGATCTGGGTTCCGGCCTCGAGCCCCAAGGTGGTGGATAGGGGCTGACATGGCGGAACAGTTCTTATGTTGGCCAAGCTTGTTTGGCGGAACAGGGATGTCTTGGGGCCAAGTCCCTTGGCTGCTGCGTGTACCACTTGACTGACTCTCAGTTGTCGTTTACTGCTCGGGGCCATTTTGGCTCAAGTGTGAATTCCCCTGACCCTTCGGTTGCCCTCGGTCTCGGCCTCGGGTGTTTGTTTTTCTTCCTGCAATGGAACGCTCCATGGATCCCGAGCTGGATGCGAAGCACACCTTGCTGGACCCTCACTGCCGAATGGAAGTGGATGCAGAGACCAAGATGGAGCACGATGTTCGGGGTGCTGACGAACCTGTAACACACGGACGGCTGCTCCAAGCTGCGGTTCCTCCCCCGGACTGATGGAACCTCCTCCGAGAAGGATTGGCTCCATGTAGACACAGAGGACTTTTGCGGGCCGACCGCTGCAGCCTTGGTGGACTAGATCCAAACAAAGGTGGTGGAGAAGGCACTTGAGCTCAAGGACAAGGCTGGATTTGGGGGGAGAGGCGGAGATGAGTATCATGGACCTGCGCCAAGAACAATGCCCGACGAGCCTGGAGCTTTTCCCGAGGTTGCCTGCAGGTGGTGCCCTCCGGAAGCCGCTCCAACTGGATGGGGCTGACGAGTTGGCTAGGGCCGATCCGGACATAACAACCCTACCCTCTACGATCCGAGCCCTTCTCGGATCAACCTGGACCGTGCTCTTCAAGGGTTCCCTTTGAGCCAAATGATCTTCTTTAGGGGGCTTCTTAGTGGGGTCTGGTTTCCGTGAATCGGGGGAGACCCTCGAAGGAGGGATTGGACAAATAGGGTCACATGAGCCAAAAGGCATCCTTGAAACAATTCGATGTGGAATTTTGTGAACTTTGGGTCCAGACTTCCACCCTTCCAGACTACCACCCTTTTGTCCACCATGGAACCCACCAGAGGGCAGGAAAAGCGTCTTGCAGTACTCCTCTGTCAGCCAACGTGGACAGATTTTGTTCCCAGCTCAACACTGGAACCACCCGCATTGGTACGGTACTGCCTTAAAAAAACGGCTGCAGCCGGTGCAAAAACAGCAATTGCAGTTTCAGCTGAAGATGGTGACGCTCTTGGATTGTGACCACCACCAAGTCTGAGAAGCACTGGGATTTGTCTCCTGGTGTCCTCTTCAAGCCCCAACAGGGTACCATCACAAGTCACATTTCGCCGACTAGGATTCCGATTTTCACACGGTCCAGTGCCATGTGCGTTGCCAGACCAAAGGCTTGCCAAAAAATAAACCAGGGGTTTCTATCATATTTAAGGGCTGCCGCCCGGTGCCGCCGCCCCCGCACCTAAGTGTTGGCCTTTGAGGTAGACCCCGGGGTCTGTGGATGCTTTGGCCGGCTTTGGTAGGCTCTTGTTTCCTTTTTGGGCAGCGTTCCTTGGCCTTTTTTGGACTTTCCGGTATGTCGGCCTCTGAGGCAGACTGCGGGGTCTGCGGATATTCGTGCTGCCTTTTGGTATTGGTTCGTTTTTTTGGTTGGGGGACTTGCCTGTATACTGGTATCTGTTTTTTCTCTTTTGTTTCGACGTTCCTGCATGTTGGTGTTTGAGGTAGACGGGGTCTGCGGATACTCGGGCTGCCCGTGGTAGTGTTTCTTTTGTGTTTTTGGGGGGACCGTCTGTGTGTCGGTGTGTGAGGTAGACCCCGAACTCTGCGGATACTCGGGCCACTGCTGGCTTCTTTGTTTTTGTGTTCGGGGGGACCTCGCAAGCCACTACCAGCCCGAGTATCCGCAGACCCCGGGGTCTACCTCAAAGTCCCCCCCGAATACAAGAAACACTACCAAAGGCAGCCCGAGTATCCGCAGACCCAAGGGCTACCTCACAAACCAACATACAAGACTTCCTTTTTTTGCAACGTTCCTGTATGTGCTTGCGGTTGGGTTTCTTTCCTTTGTTTGGGGACTTCCTTCCCAAAAACGGACACAGACAGACACACACACACACAGACACATCGGCGTTTTGCGCCTGTCCGATGCGCCACGGTGGGGCGCTTCGAGATTGCAGAGCTGAAGCGGGACGCGCTGGCTCATGGCCAGCCGTTTTTGTCGGTCTGAGAGCCCCAGTCAAAGGCCGTGCCCTCAATCGTTCCCCAGCGGAAAGTTATTGGGTCGAAAGGCCCGAATCGGCGCTGGGGTGGTTTGGAGGGTTCATTCTGTTTCGCGAAAAGCTGGTCGGAAAATTCTTTGTTTGGAAATCCAACTAAAGTGTGCTGCTTTGAGTGGGTTGATGTTGAAACAGCGAAGAGAAATTCAGACATCCAACCACAAAGTCAGAGACCCAAATGTCAGACATCACCGCGCAAAGAGTCAGACATCACCGCGCGAAGAGTCAGACATCGCAGCACGGAGGGTCAGACATCATAGCCGCCGACACCCGCCGCCCGCCGTGCGTCAAGATCACAACTCGCCACCCGACACCATGTCTGTTAGCTTGCCTTCCTGTGTGACTGCTTGTCTGCTTTTCTTTCTCCTGCCTGGTGCCTGTCTGCGCGCCGGCTTGTTTGCTTGCTTGTTTGTTTGCAGGTCTTCTTGTTCTGCTCGTCTGCTCGCCTGTTGCCTGCCTGCGTGCAGTCCTGCCTGCCTGCCCTGCCTGTTTTCTTTTTTGCTCGCTTGCTTCGTGCCCGGGCGATGGCTTGTCAGCGTGCTTTCTTGCTTGTGCGTCTGTCTGCCGGCCTGCCGGCCTATTGGGATATGACCCCTGAGCTGCTTCAAGCGGAAACTGGCACAGCCGCCGGGCAAAGCACGCGGTGGAGGAGGACGCAGAAAGTCGTAGAAGGGAGTGCGTTCTGAGGTTGACTTTGATTTGCTAGAAGAGGGGGGAACAGAAGAGACAGTTTCATGCCCTGAGCACGCGATCCGAGGGGATTGACCTGAGGATTCACCATGGCCGGGGTTGCGCGGAGATTGATCCGCGTACGCGTGTGCAGGCCTTGAAACCGTCTCTTATGTTCTCCTCTCTGGCGTGGGGGGGGTTGATGGGGGGTGATGATGATGTTGGTGCGCTGGTGATGCATTTGGTTTTTACATAGCCCCCGGGTGGCTATAACTCCCGACCCCCCGTAAAGTGAATTGCCGCAGTCTTTTTTTTGAGCTTTTGTGTTCTGAGGGCTCCCCGGGATGTTTTTCTGAATTTTTGTCGCGGGGATGAGGGATTCCTGTGTCTGTGATGCCGCTTTTTGTGGCCCGTTTTGCTGATTTTTGTCGGTGCTTCCGGGCCCCTCCCGCTCAGGCACGACCCCTCCCCTAATAATTTTGGGCCGTTGCCGGCTGGCCTGTTGTCTTCCTATAGGTCCTAGCTGCCTGCCTGCCTGCCTGCCTGCCTGCCTGCCTGCCTGCCTGCCTGCCTGCCTGCCCGTTTGTTAGCTTGCCTTCCTGTGAGACTGCCTTTTTTTCTTTTTTCTTTTTCTCTCCTGCCTCTTTGCCTGTCCGTGCGCACGTTTTTTTGATCGCTTGCCTTTCTTGTGTTCCTACGTCTGTATGTATATGCATGTGTATATGTATATGTTTATGTGCATGTTTTGTGATGTTGGGTGCAACAGTGCAATGTAATGTAAAGTAATGTAGTGTAGCGCAGTGTAGTGTGCAGTGCAGTGCAGTGCAGTGCAGTGCAGTGTAGTGTAGTGTAGTGTAGTGTAGTGTAGTGTAGTGTAGTGTAGTGTAGTGTAGTGTAGTGTAGTGTATGTATGCATGCATGTATGTATGTATGTATGTAATGTAATGTATGTATGTATGAATGTATGTATGTATGTAAAGTATGTATGTAATGTATGTATGTATGTATGTATGTAGGTAGGTAGGTATGTAATGTATGTATGTATGTACGTATGTAATGAATGTAATGTGTGTATGTATGTATGTATGTATGTATGTATGTCTTTAATGTATGTATGTATGTATGTATGTATGTATGTATGTATGTATGTATTGTAATGTACCGTAATGTAATGTAATGTAATGTAATGTAATGTATGTATGTATGTATGTATGTATGTATATGTATGTATGTATGTATTGTATTGTATTGTATGTAATGTATGTAATGTATGTATGTATGTATGTATGTATGTATGTATGTATGTATGTATGTATGTATGTATGTATGTAATGTATGTATGTATGTATGTATGTATGTATGTATGTATGTATGTATGTATGTATGTATGTATGTATGTATGTATGTATGTATGTATGTATGTATGTATGTAATGTATGTATGTATGTATGTATGTATGTATGTATGTATGTATGTATGTATGTATGTATGTATGTATGTATGTAT